CATTACTGGAGACTTTACATCAGTCCTGTGCCTTTTCTTCCCTCTCTTTGTACACTCACTCCCTTGGTGATTTCATTACATCTCATGCATTTAAATATTATTTATATGCTGAGGCTCCTGGGTGGGTCACTCAGTTAAGCATCAGACTGTTGGTTTCAGTTCAGGTCAGGATCTCACAATTGTGAGACAGAGCCCCGTGTCAAGCTCCACTCTGAATGTGGAGCCTACTTAAGAATCTCTCTTGGCCCCTACCCGACTCATTCTCTTTCTCAATCAGTCAGTCAATGTTATTTTTATGGTGATGATACCCAAATTCATATCTCCAGCTTACATTTTTCTTTTGAACTCCTAATGTGATTGATGGGAGCGGTTCTTTTTCTTTTTAAAAATTTTTTATGTTTTTTATTTTATTTCTGAGAAAGAAAGAGAGAGACAGCATGAGCAGGAGAGGGTCAGAGAGAGAGGGAGATACAGAATCTGAAACAGGCTCCAGGCTCTGAGCTAGTTGTCAGCACAGAGCCTGAAGCAGGGCTCGAACCCACAAACTGTGAGATCATGACCTGAGCCAAAGTTGGTCGCTCAGCCGAACTGAACCACCCAGGTGCCCCAATGGAGGTGTTTTGTTTTGTTTTGTTTTGTTTTGTTTTTTGCTTTCTATTTGTTGGTTTGTCTACTTCAGTTTTGTGAACAGTTTCTGGAATATGGTAGGCCTTCAATAAATAAATGAATATATTCTTTGCCCCCCAAATTAAAGAAGTAAGAATACATGGTTTAGTGAGATAAATTTGATAGTAGTTTGTGGTTGAAATGAAAAGTGCTTGTGTGCATGTAGGGATGAAGATATTGGTTGAAGCTGATTTTAAGGAGTTTGTATTTTATCATTATCATATACATATTCTAGACCATATCTATATTTTTAACACTAATAAGGGTTCAATAAATAAAAATATTAAGTCTGTAATAAAAGATACTTTGTTATTATAGTATCTTAGTGTTTTATAGAATCACAGAGTCATACATCATCCTTAGCAGAGAATTCATAGCCTGAACATTCATAGCATAATCTGTTATCTCGTATGTCACATCTATTTCTGTATTTTTGTGAATTTAGTAACCAATAACCTGGAAAACTATCACTGTAAAAAGTGTTACAGTACACAACAAATATAGGAAAAGACATAATATATGCATGGACAGATGTATATAAAACGAATATCATCTTTTGATTATCATGAAAATTTTAAATTATTGGCATGAAAAAATTCACACTTATGTGTGCTTCAGTGAAGCACTTCATAAGATTTTAGAAATTATATGATACTTTAAATTATGCAATTTTATTTCAGTGTAAAAATGTTCCTACGGCTCTAATGAATGACCCATTTTGTTAAAAAATAGAGAAGAATGTGAAAAAATTGGACAGACTTCATTGTCAGAACCTCATGTTTTCTGGTTTAGAACATTATTAAGCTTAATATCATCCTGAACTGTCATTTCCCTTACTAACAGTGTATGTGCAGAATAATGATTGGCAATAGGTGGGGATTAATTAATAGGATTTCTTGGATGTGGGCTACAGGTGGAGAGCTGTGCTTCATCAAAGCGGCCATATCTGTCTTTACATGTCCCACCACTTGGTGTACAGTGTTGGTAGAGAAAGCAGCAGAATGATGTTAATCAAATTTCAGTTTTTATCCCGTTCCTCTTAAAAAATGTGTCCAGTTGTCATTAACTACATAGTATCCTTGGAAAAGGTAGTTTATGGTTACATCTGTGAATAAGGAGTTCTTTAGTAGACAAATTTATTTGTGTTTATTACACATGTGTATGTGTTTATTACACGTGTGTACGTGTTCTACTACCCAGACTACTTGAAAACTGCTCCCATACGTTTTTTGTTTTATGTGATTTCAGTTAATGTACTCCATGGGATTAATTATAATTCTTTGGTCTCTGTATAGTTAAAAAAGTACCAATCTTTGAAAATAGAGGTAGAATAAATCCTCATAGTAATACCACCAGTATTATAAAGGGATATTCTCAATTTTTATGCAAAAATATTGACAATTTAGATGAAATGAATAGATATAAATTATTAAAGTTAATCTTCTATCAAGAGCTGGATCTGACTCTACCAGCCCTTAAATCAGGATTGACCATGTGATTTTTTGGGCCAATGGGGCTTTAGGAAAATAGTGGATACAGATGCTTGAAATATATTGGACATTGAGGTTGTTTTGTTATTGTTATTGAAAGTGGAAACCTTAGCCACCAGTTGAATAATATAGGGGCCTGCATGGGGATGAGAGGGCAGCAGAGGGACACCAGCACATGTGGGAACACAGTTCACCAAACACCATCCGTGTGAGTGAGGACTTCATGGATCATCCAGCCTCACCGCCGAGCAGCTGATAACAGAAACGTGAGAAGATGCAATAGAACCTACCCACCCATGATCATCTAGATTATAAAACCGGGGCGCCTGGGTGGCTTAGTCGGTTAAGCGTCCGACTTTCGCTTAGGTCATGATCTCGCGGTTCGTGGGTTCGAGCCCCGCGTTGGGCTCTGTGCTGACTGCCAGCTCAGAGCCTGGAGCCTGTTTCAGTCTGTGACTCCCTCTCTCTCTGACCCTCCCCTGCTCACGCTGTCTCTCTCTCTCTCCTAGAAATAAATAAAACATTAAAAAATTACATTTATAAAACCACTCAGTTAAATGCAGAATTACAAGATAATTTATATGTTATCTTAAGCCACTAAGCTTTGGGGTTATTTGGTATGAAGAAATAGCTAACTGACAAAGTAATGTATTTTTCTTATTTGATACTCTCTTTACTATAAAATAAGCAGAATTAGCAAAAATAACAAAATCTGTCCTTTGCTTATAAATTATGATTTATGTCAGAGCCTGATCAAGTTAATATAATACATACAATGTTGTATCCCCATTTTAGCTGGAAGATGAGAGAGATGAAATAAAGGTGGAAGGAGATCCTAGATTTAGGGGTAAGGATCAAAAGATGAAGCATGTCGAACCACATATTGACTAATTCAGCAAGAAATAAAATGACATCATAGATCTTCATGTACACAATGACTCATTTGGAAGTATGTTTCAGAAAGAGTTTAGGATGAATGTTCATGTGTAGAGAGAGATTAGTGGAGGAGAGAGGAAGGGAGAGAGTACACACAGGGATGTGGCAAAGGGGAAATAACGGCAGGAGGAGGCGTGATAAGGCTCTCACACTGAGGTGAGCAATAACCAAGAGTCTGCATTGTAACCTGTCAATAGAATTAGAAGCCTATGACTAGTTCAAAAAAGGATTGTGTATGAATCTGAAGCTGTGGTATAAAATCTGGTGTTAACAGTGCTGAGCGAAATGAAGTAAACTTTTTTTCTGAAAGAAACAAGATGAAAGCTTAAATCTTCTAGAAAAAGAAAATCTTTATTTTTTTTTTAATTTTTTTTTTAATGTTTTATTTATTTCTAGGAGAGAGAGAGAAACAGCGTGAGCAGGGGAGGGTCAGAGAGAGAGGGAGTCACAGACTGAAACAGGCTCCAGGCTCTGAGCTGGCAGTCAGCACAGAGCCCGACGCGGGGCTCGAACCCACGAACCGCGAGATCATGACCTAAGCGAAAGTCGGACGCTTAACCGACTAAGCCACCCAGGCGCCCCTAGAAAAAGAAAATCTTTAGTACATATTAAAAGACCTAACTGTCCACTATATTTTAGTTTATATTATTTATATAATGTTAAAACTCCATTAAAATCATGCTTTGAAATAGTTTTAAAAGTATTTCTATCTTCTCAATCTATTTTTTTCTTTACTTCTTGGATCTCCTGTCACTCCTCTGCCTCTCCTACACTTTTTCTCCACCTCCTTAATTTTATTTGGCATAATTTTTGGTTCTAATGTGAATTTATTCACTGTAACCTCTGTTTGCAGTAAGCTATGGGATATTGTGTATGTGGTGGCAAAAAAATAGACAGTGTTTATGCCTACATCCTAGCACCTATGAATTTGGTAAACTTAGGCATGTGACTGCAGTTTTCTGTAGCTGTTTTCTTATTCACATAAGCAGAGTAATAATGGAGCTCACCTTGCTATGTTATATTAATATTAAGTAAGTTAATATATTTAAAGCGTTACATTTAAAGTTTTTAAGATAGTAATCACTCCATAAATACTACTGGTTAATTGTTTCTATCACTATACTTATTAGAAAATGCTGGTGTAACTGATAGAATTTTCATCAGTGTCTGCCAAACAGATATATTCAGAACCATAAAAACATTATTATTTTATATTATTTCATTTTGTAAGCATCATACCAAAAAGATGATTAAAAAAACTAAAATTCACTTAAAATTCTACCATTCTTCTGACTCATCATATACCTACTGTTTTTCTGAATTTCTTTTCATTTTTTCCATATCCGTGCAATTACATATTGTGCTTAATTCCAACTTACTCTAAATTGACTCTATATTTCCAATTAAGTTTTCATGATTATGATTTTAATATCTGAATAGGGTTTATCTGATAGTCATAATTTACTTGACTCCATTTAATTTTTTTCATAATTTTTTATGTGTAAATGAAGATATTTATACTGAACTTTTTCTATTACTATATACTCAGAATTCCTTTTACTAAATTTAGATTTACAATAAGAATTGTCCCACAAAAATTACAAAATGAACAGCAACAAATTTAGATGAACAACTTATATTTGAAATAATAAATTCAAATGGAAATATATGCCAATAATATAATTTTATCATAATTTGTTTTATAAAAGACCTACTACTTAGACTGAAAATGGATGCATCATTAAAATGAAACAATTAAATTTTGAGTATTTGAAATTGGTTAAATATTTTTAAGACAGAGAATGGTAATTCATCACCTAGAATATAATAGAATTATTTCTAATCTAATGCAGTGGTGAACACTAGTACTCACTAACATCTAATTTTCCTCTCCTTCTGGATCTTTAGGGAAGACTATATTTTTCTGATCCTTGATGGTAACCCAGCGATAGATTCTTAATTCTGTCCAATGGGCTGTGAGAAATGATGAGCTTTGCTTCTGGGATAAAGCTTTTACTTAGAGGATTCTTTCTTCTTTGCTGCAATGAACAAGGTGAACTCATGATCCAGATAAAAAATACTAACAAAAGTCAGCATAGCTTCCACTAGCCTGGGTCTCTGTGTGATTGTGAAAGGCAGAGCCACTCAAGACGTGCACTGGAATCAGAAGAGTAAATGCAAAATAAACATTTTTTGCATATTCCTCTGTTATCTGAAATTTTTTGAAACTTTTATAGATTCTGGTCACTCATTAGTTGACCAATACAATACTTAATAAGGCCTCACTTGCTTGCCAATTTAATCAAATAATTCTCTCTCAAAAATTTCCCTATTTTCCTTCAAATATAAATTACCTAATTTGATCCTCTTTGAATTTGTAACCTGTAGTAATATTTCACTTTCTCTTTTCTGATTCTTTTCAAATAGATGATATTTTCTCAGTTCTTTCAGTTTCTTTTTAAACATTTTTAAAAATTTTTTAAGTTTATTCATTTTTGAGAGAGAGAGAATTCCAAGTAGGCTCTGCACTGCCAGCAAGGAGGCTGATGGAGGCTTGAACTCGCAAACCCTGAGATCATGATCTGAGCCAAAACCAAGAGTCAGATGTTTAAGTGACTAAGCCACCCAGGTGCCCCTAGTTTTATTTTGTTTTTTAACATTTTCAGACTAGAAAATGTCAAATATAATAAAAATTTCACAGCTTTATAAAACAAAATCGCGTAAGAGTTCCAATAGTATTAGAGTATTTTGATTTCAGTGCATAATTAGAGAGTATTATGATTTCAGATCGACAGTTAATAATCCCCCTTTTTAAACATTTCTGAATATATATGTTATTTTTAATGTTTATTTATTTTTAAGAGAAAGAGAGAGACAGAGTGCGCGCAGGGGAAGAGTCAAGAGAGAGGGAGACACAGAATCAGAAGTAGGCTCCAGGCTCTGAGCTGTCAACACAGGGCCCAAAGTGAGGCTTGAACTCACCAATGGTGAGATCATGACCTGAGCTGAAGTTAGCCGCTTACCTGCCTGAGCCACCTAGGTGCCCCATCTGAATATTTATATTAATGATATAATAAAAAGGATTGCTTGTATCTATGAGAAAGTGTGATGAAATATTCCATTAGTTTATCCATAAAGTATTTCCCTTTTAGTAAAAATATTTCCTTGCAGCTAAGTAATGGGTTAAAATTGTAACACGCTATGAAGTCTAAAATGAAGGGATTGTTGGAATATGGATTATGAAAATACTTCAGAGCAAGAATATATTCCAACAACTTGATAAAACTTGCAAGTCAATTACCTGCAAAAATAAAAAAAAAACAATTATGTTTGATAATTTAGAAATATAAATGTCAGGAAATATGCAATTGGTTTCAATTTCATCCCTCATAACCATATAGACTCAATTATAGTTTTCCATTATACAAGACTAATTAGTTTCACAAAAACTGGCATCTTTGCAATGCAATGTATTGTAATTGGGATTTCATGTTTCAATTTGTAAATGTGTACCCTTTGATTTACTACCATATGCTTTATTATTTTAGATACATCTTTTGAACAGCTATTTCTGAAATAATCATTTTACTCTTTCCTTTGAACTACATTTGTGTTTAATCAGAAAACAAAGGCTTTCTTTTTTACAAGAACATTTAAAAACTAAAAAAAAGAAAATAATGGAAATCAATCTAAGATCTAGAACAATTAAAAAACTTTCCATCCTGTATGTTTTTGGTCATCTTTGCTGTTTTCTGTCCCTGAAACCTTCCTACTAAGTTATAATTTTCTCCATTTTGAAGAAAGATTATTAGGTAGTAAAACATATAAAACAAGAGAAATGAATGAAATGAAACACACAGCAAAGCAGAATAAGTGAGGAGGAAGATAATATGTTGATGATGTTTCATTAGGCAATATCTTACCTCCCAAATTGCTACATTGCTAAATTGGATATTATTAATGTGAATAAAATGTGTCTAATGGGATGTTAAAGCATACAGGTACTTTCTTGAATTCACACACATTTAAATCTTGATAGAGGATGAGGAGACAAGAAAACAGCTAGTAAATATAAGCAATAACTGGTAAGGCCACAATAAAACTGTAAGGAACAAGTAATCAGTGGAGGGAGAAAAAATAGTGATATGAACTGGGTTAGTCCATGTATTCCCTTTTCCTACAGCTGATAATAAAATCAAACCTTTCATAAATAATTTTAATTATGGATTAAGGTGTCAATATAAATATCCTCTTTATGTCTGATATGTGAACCCAACTGTTTAATGCTCATATAGACATAGAGACTTATGTATGAGAAGAGTTGATATATACACATGGTAAATGGATGATATTTGAATTAAGATAGGTTTACCTTTTTAAACATAGTATAAATCTGAAAATACTCAGTTGTACACTGTAATTAAATCTCTGGGAGTATTCCTTTCTGAATAAATAAAGTAATCAATTCAACTACTTAGATGTAAGCATTGTTAGAATAAATGCCGCCAGAACTTAACTTTTTGCTAATTAAACTAAACTTAGTGTTTGAGTTTTCTTTTCATTTGAACCTCAGAAATTTAAGTTTAGGGGCAAGTATCACATTCTCACAGAGTGAAGATTAAATATCAAAACTAGTAATCTTAACAGTAAGGAAGTAAAGCTCTGAGATTTAAAAGATTGATAGCGAATACTTGAATATTTATAGTTTCTTTGGTTTTTAAAATATTTTAATGTTTATTTATTTTTGAGAGAGAGAGCACAAGTCGTGGAGAGGCAGAGAGAGAGAGTGAGACTGAGAGAGAGAGAGAGAGAGAGAGAGAGAGAAGGAATCTGAAGCAGGCTCCAGGCCCTGGGCTATCAGCATAGAGCCTGACACGAGACTCGAACCCACAAACCGTGAAATTATGACCTGAGTGGAAGTCCGGCACTTAACAGACTGATCCACCCAGGCACCCCAAATATTTATAGTTTTTAATACGTTGGAAGATATATCTTGGATTTTAAATAGTACTCTGCTAAATTCACACTGCAACAGTGGTTTATTTATTTTGAAATTTGTAAATTATAACAGAAATTGGCAAGAAAATAGGCCATTGTTGAGGTCTCCTAGTGCATTGTTTTGTGGAAATTTAATATGACTAAAAGAGATAAAAGTAGATTGAGCTTCTTAACTTTAAAAATGTATAAAATAGGGGCGCCTGGGTGTCTCGGTCGGTTAAATATCTGACTTCGGCTTAGGTCATGACCTCATGGTCGCAAGTTTGAGCCCTGTGTCGGGCTCTGTGGTGACAGCTCAGAGCCTGGACCTTGCTTCAGATTCTGTGTCTCCTACTGTCTGCCCCTCCACTGCTCGCACTCTGTGTGTGTGTTTCTCTCTCTCAAAAATAAGTAAACATTAAGAAAAATGTATAAAATAAAGACATCCCTTTATTTTATAATAAAGGTTTTTAAAGTTCAGCATATATTTATTATTGATTGTCTTTTTAATAAGACTATTTGTTAAACCTGAATACTTCTTTTCACATAGCTGGCTATGTAAAATAATGTTTACTGTTCAAAAGATATATTCTATTTTTTCTATAAAATTTGAAAGAAAATATGAACTTCTCTTTGCTTCTGGCTACTATTTTCAGAACTGCAAAGAAGGTCTTCAAAAGAATGGGGGAAAACTCTGGTCATGTATTTTGATCTGATGAAGATCAGTTCAGTCTGATCACTCAGCCAAATGTGGAAGGAAATCACACCAGATATCTTATTTGATTGACTTGACCATATGATTCTTTAGAAAGGCTTAATCTAGAGATCCCACAAGTAAAAAAGAAAAAAAAAACAAAACAGTATATCTCCATAATAAAATTTTCTTAATCATATATCTGAGTCGACTTGATTCATTTTAGAACTTAAGAGAATTCTTTCAGTTTCCAGTCTTCAGTTGTGAAATTTTCTTCCATTGTTAACCTTCATTAGAAAGTATCCTTCACTTGATTATCTTTCAAAGCAATGAATTAATGAATGTATTTCTAAAGACAGGCAATAAATTTATTCCTATCATAACAGTTAGAAATATATTTTTCCAGTATACTTTTCTTAATTTGGTGAGTAGATCATCATTTCTGTTCTCGATAGTCTTGAACCATGTGTTTTATAAATTATATTATATAAAATAACCTTGGGAAATTAATCTTTCCTTGTTATTATCATGTAGCACTTTGATCAAAAAGGACTTTGATTTCCCCTTTCTTGAGAATTACTGGAAAATGAAATTCCCCCCTAGAACTCTAGCACATTTATAAACATAACCTGCAGTGGAATTTATGGCCAGCAGTCCTTCTGTTTAGGATATCTGTGTACATAAAATTGCAATTGGGTTGCTTTCTTGTGTGTAAAATAAACTGACTGGGAAAGACTACTGTTTTGACATTTTAATTTTAGCACAGTATATTTTTACGAAAAATCAAAACCTCCCTTTTGTTTCCATGATGTAGTGTCACATCTGTCAACTCCTAGGATAAAAGTCACGCAATTGGTAGACCAGTGGAATCCGTGAACTCCCAAGTCCTTCCCAGATCAACAATCTGTGATAATTTATAATTTAAGTTAGTGGAAAATGTCCATAACTTTCCAGCACGCTGTCCTTGTTTTATTTTTTGGAATGCCCTTTTCAGTGCCATGGAAGTTTCTCCAGAACCCGTCCTCCAAAACCAAGCTCAGTTCCCTTCTCCCAGAAAACTTCCTTGTCCTTCAGTGAAAATTAGTTTCTCCAGTCCTTGTACTTTCCTATTCTGTAATTAGAGTTGGCTCTTAGGAAATGTTTACATAGTTGAGTTGTGGAGAGGAGAAACAAGAAATAGATCAAAACCAAAACTTTAATTAAAGTCCTTGTTACTAGAAGGACTTGGAAGTTCCAGTCATAGAAGAGTACAGAAAGAAGGCTTCCACATCCATTAAATTTACTCTTTGCCACAAATCTTGATCACCAAATCTTTCATTAACAGCTGGTCTTCAAAACCTCTGTGTTGGTAGTGAGCTCTGCTTGATGTTATACCATTCATTTCATACTTGTGTGTGTGTGTATGTGTGTGTGTATATTTATTTATTTATTTATTTTTGGTGGTGGTAAAAATACATACATTGTCATTTTAATTTAATACTTCAAGTTTCAGCCCCAGTTAGATAATATTTTAGTCCTCAAAAAGAGAAATAGCAGTTTTCACTGCAGAGAATTCAATGGGTCCCGTTCTGCCTTAAGCCATCAGCTTTGTCAAGAAAACAAATGACCTAGAAATGTAAATTGGAATAAAAATCAGTTCACAACATCGTCTTTTATCTGTTTATTTCTTTTGGCTACTAGATAGCCTTGGACATTTGAACATGCTATAATTCCTTGAGCTTATTTGTCTAAAATCCATCTCATAAAAAGGCCCTGCCTGTAGGAAACTTGCCTATGTACTCTATGATAGGGTAGACAAAAGATGTACGAGGAGAGACCAGAAATACAGTTTTGATTTGGCTGTATTACCGTAAGGAAAGGAAAAATAACTATTAACATAAGGCAACAAAAATAATGTGCATGTATCATGAAACAAGCATGATACCACAGTTACATCTGTCTTAAACAATCACTGTGTTGTAGGATAGTAAGTATCAATACAGTCTGGATATAAGGCTTCCAAATGTTGAGCAGAGAAATGCCAACCTGATTTATCCTTAGGAAGTCTAATGATACCAGTAAGTAAGTAATGGAAATATCCATTTCTTATTACAGAAAAAGCAATATATATTGCATTCACAGGCTTACATTATTTTATAGATTTGTCAAGATTCAAAGAGAAATGGTTTTGTTCAGGGAAGAGAATTAAATGTTTGAAAATAAAACCTCTCTAAATTATTCTTCCACGCATGCTGAAACAAACAAGAAATGTCTGACTCTCATTCACATCACATAAAAAATAAACTTACTACAAAACTTAAACCTATAAAAACCTATAACAAAATATAGAAACAAATCTTGTGACGCTGGATTATCAAGACTCCTCAAGTACAATTCCAAAAGCACAATTCATAAAGAAAAACTTCATAAACTGAACTATAGCAAAATTAAAAACTTTTGTTCTTGAAAAGACACTGTAAAAACAAGTAAAGACAAGGGAGAAAAAATAGTTGCGAAACACGTATCTAGTCAAGGACGTGTTTTCAGAATAGAACACTAAACAAAGACTCTCCAGAAGCTCTCACAATGCAGTCATAAACAGAACACCAAATCAAAACTGGGCAAAAAAATTTGACACATGATAACAAAGAATTTTTAATTTGCATCTTCTTTATGCCTAGTGATGTGGAACACCTTTTCACGTGCTTATTATTCATCTGTATATCCTCTTCGGTGAAACATCTGTTCACATCTTTTGCTCATTTTCTAATTGAATTGATTGGTTTTTAAATGTGTTTTGAGAGTTCTTGATAGACCCCAGATGCTAGTTCTTTGTAGGATATGTGGTTTATAAACTTTTTCTACCAGTTTGCAGCTTGTCTTTTCATCTTCTTCAGAGTTCTTTGTCAAGCTAACATTTTAACGTTTTTAAGTCCATTTTATTATTATTATTTTTCCATTAATGGACTGTGGTTTTTTTTTTTGCCTGGTCCTAGATCTTAAAGATTTTCTTTTGTCAGAGACAGGGGCTATTGACATTTGGCTGGAGTAGGGTAGGTATTGACAAAAAGATTGTTTTGTTTTTTTGGTTTGAGGGAACAGGATTTTCCTGGGACCTTTCTTTCCATACCTGCTAACTGTTCCACATTGGGTGTTATGCAAATGCTCTGTCTGGCACATATGAGAGGCAATAAGAAAAGCGAAGGAATTCAGTGCCACCAAGTCTTTCCTTAAGTCCGGTAAACCTTAGGCAGCCTACCTCCTTCTTCCCATCTTTGAGGGACTTTCTATGGTATTCACTGAGTCCTATATGAGTCCTTATATGACATCTTTCTGAAGCAGTCTTTGGTCATTCTATTGGTAAGTCTGGATCTAAAACTTCCCCCTTAATCTCAATAGACTTATAATAGTAGTGTAATTTGTATTCTCTTTAAAGCATCATGTGTTGAAGATCTGTGAGTATGTAATATATGGGTTTCAGTATTTCAAGGGTGGATTGATGCCAGATACACCATAACATAGCTCAGGCTGTCAAATTGTATTTTTCACATAACGTCACAAGAGAAATGGGTATTTGATTTCTGAAACTACTGGTTGAAGGAAATCATGATTACCTCCGCTCACTCCTTGATTAATATATCTCAGCCAGGTTTCCTTTCAAACTCTCCCTTTAGTCTCCTTATTAGTTTTATTGTTATTCCAAACTCCCTTCAGTTTGTCTCTGACCTAATGTACAGACATACTCAAATAATAATCTAATACACCTTAATTGCACTTGGCAGGATAGGACACCTTTTACAATGCTCTGTAGAGAAGACATGCCAGGCGCCTCACAATTCAAGGTTCTCAGAGAGCACCCAAACATGCCTTACTAGGACAGCATTAAACACAATAAAGCACCATTTACTGATTATATACAATGATGCAATTAATAGAGCAATGACTAAACACACTTGGAGTATTTCTTGAATGTTAAAAAAGGTAACAAGTGATAGATCATTTTAAAATAAGTATCAAAGGCTAGGACTTTTGGCTATGACCAAGTGATGAATACTCACTCAGTAAATACTCTCTGTAAAAGCAGCTATCAGCCTATACCAAGTGGACGGGAACCATTATTTCAGCACGCTGGAATTTGACCAAAGGCATAGAAAAGCCTGAGAAGTATTTATCTTTAAAAATAGGCTGAACATCAGACAAAGTATAAATAGGGATCCAGTGACAAAGAAGAACTGTGGTTTACAGAGTATGGCAAAACAGGGCAAATTTGTGGCTTAAAGGCAATATCTAAATAACTATATATGTATTGAGCTACCCAAGAATAACAGCTGAAAAGCACAATCCACTTATGCTAACATTGATGGCAAAGGTTTTTCTTCCTCTCAAATTAAGGGGAACCCAGTTGTCTGTGTGTTCATGTGCATTAGGCACAGGGTTAGAAACATGATAGAAATGCAAATGTAGGAAACAAAAAAGGCTCAGAAGAAAGAAGGGTTCATTTTCTCCCTAAGCTTCAAGAACAGGAAGAAACACTTCTTGGACATTATACTGGCAAAAATCCCAAAGTGAAGAAAATGAATGTCTTTGGTAGGAGGTATGAGCTATTTCAAGTAAATGGCTATAAGGGCAAGAGGGAGAGGTATACAAGTATTTGGCATACCCTTCTGTGTAGCATGAGAGGAGGGGAGGTGCAGTGAATTCTAGAGATAGTCTGGCACTAGACCAAGATGGCCTTTTACACCTTGTCACAGAGTTGGAGTTTTCCTTGTAAGGATAGAGATCCATTATTGAAGAGTTGCTTACTGGTCAGTATTGTATCAGGTGTGTGCATTAGAAATGCCAATCTGAGCCCTGGCTGGCTGGGTTAGAATTAGGGCGACCCCTTGAGGACGATGTTGGCATCAAATGATTGATGTAGGAGGAAAGTATAGATTCTTAAAGCAACTCTTCTTAAAAGCTCTTTGGTTTTGGAGCACCTGGGCGGCTCAGTCGGTTGGTTTTGGCTCAGGTCATGATCTCACAGCTCGTGAGTTCAAGCCCCATGCTGGGCTCTGTGCTGACAGTGCAGAGCCTGCTTGGGATTCTCTCTTCCCTCTCTTTCTGTCCCTACCCTACTCATGCACTCTTGCTCTCTTTCTCTCTCAAAAATAAATAAACTGTAAAAAAAATTTTTTTTTAAAGCTGTTTAGTCTTGAGCCCCATTACACTATTAAAAATAATTGTAAAGAACTTTTGCTTTTTTCCCCTTAAAATTTGCCATAGTGGAAATTAATACAGATTTTAAATTATTAATTTTAATTATTGATTACAAAACCATTTATGGAAATGTCATATTTTTATGAAAACATAAAGCATTATGAAATAATATTTCCAAATTAAAAACTAATGCAAAGAGTGGCATTATTTGATAATTTTGTAAATCTCTTTAATGTCTGACTTAAGTCAGCTGGCTCCTCATATCTGTTTCTGTATTTAGAACAATCTTGTTTTAGTTGGTAGATGTGAAAAAAATCTGGTCTTACACAGATATGAGTTGGAAAAGGAAGGAATGCTTTAATGACTCTTTAAAATAACTTTGGATAGTCATCTTTAATACTCCACTAAAACTTAGGGGTAGTTTACTAAATTTTAGCTCCAATGTGAAATTGAAAACTGTGTCAGTAAATTTACACATGTTGTTACATTAAAATCCACTGGTCATTTTGTGCTTTTAATGGATCTTCTCCCCACACAGGATTTTATTTTTGGAAAATACTGATGTGCATGACATTTTTATCAACTTTCAAATATTGATACATTTTATTATGTGATATTTTTGGCAATTTTACTTATTATCTCTGATCTCATATGAATATCCTTTAAGTATGTAGAAGCAATTGAGCTAATATTAGGAAATTTTAGTTTTTCAAAATTCTAATTTTCACTTGAAAGAATGCTCAAATGTTATCAGTGGCAGTATATATTCTCAGTTGTTTTACTTGAAGACACAAGCTCACAGAGTTTATTTTTAAGAAAATGATTGACAAGTACCCAAGTCTGAATAACTATAGTTTTCTGTCATTCGTCAAAGAAACATGATGTTGTATGAAAAGCGACCTACAAACTCACACAGTGGTTTTCTTCCAGATTACCATTGTACTGCAGTGTACAACAGAAATGATTCATGTGTACTTCCCATTTCTCTCATACACACTATTGAAAAAAAGAAGTACCCATTGTTAAGATTTAATTAAATTTGAATGTTTCATCAAGGACATTCGTAAGTAAAACTGGCTTTTTCTTTTTTCTGTGAATGCAGGAAAGTGAAGAATAAGATGACTTCCTATGTACTTTGGTGCAACCAACTTCACTGCTCATAAGCAGCCAGCATTTTCTCTACCACTGCTTTTGCACCATTAGTTACAAATACCAGTATGGTAGGAAAAGCAAATAACATCATTGAATTCATAAGAAAATTATTTTGAACTCCATAATCCCTGGAAACGTATCAGAGATTCCTAGCAGACTATAGACCATACTTTGAAAACCACTGACTTAAACAAAAAGCAGAAAAGAATCAGGGAAGGAGAGAGGTAAGAGATTTGGAAATATAATGTTTATAAGAATTGTCTTTTTAAAAACTCTCTCTCGAGATGCCTACACAGGTGTATTAAATAACACAGTGTAGCCTTTTATTGTATGTGGTTTTGTCTTCTTTTCAAATGACTTCTATCATGTGCCTAACTGATCTACCTAAAGGCTTGTGAAACCATCGCTATGTTTTTCTGTACTCACCCAGAATCTCCTGCAGTATTGACCATGTCATAATTAAACACATAATCAATAAGACTCAATTAGTTCATAGCTCTTGAAACAGACTAAAAAAAAAAAAAAGATGGTAGATTTGCACTCTTATGTAATCTAACATTATTAAGCACAACTTACATTATTTTTTAAATTACTCTGAAAGTGAGACACATTCAGGTATTAAAATTAAAGCTATTGGCATGCTAATTACTTTTCCCATTTAATTATAATAGCACAGAACAAATTGTAGGGTTTGCACAGTAAACAAAAGCCTGGAAGGATAATATCTGCTGGTTAGTTATTAGTTTAAACATGTGTCTCTCTCTTTTTGACATATTAGGGTTGTAAGCTTTGCATATTCTTATGTTTTGAGCCAAGTTTGAATATGGTAAGAATATAATGAAAAATACAATTATTGATACACATAGGGCTTTATGTTACCACAAATTATTAAAAAAAAAAAAGAAAAGGCCACTTACCTCTATTTTAGGTACAGTTTTGTTCTAATCTCAAGTCAATGACCTTGGACACACATCATTTAGTTTCTATGTACTTTAACTGACTCATCTATAAAAAAAGAGGTAAAACTAAATGAGTTGTCAATTTCAGTCTTTTTTATTTTTAAATAAGCTATAATCATCAACCCATGACCATAGTGACCAAAATAATTATCACACATTAAAAGTCTGTGATCTATTACAAAGTGGATAAATGAGCCAGTGTGGTCACTGTGGTGCAATGCGATGGTGATTTTTTAAATCTTTTCTGAGCAGATTTTTAATATGTGTAATTCATTCATACCAATAATTATTACATGTATCTAGTTTTACCTTTTCTTAGCAAATGTAAATATTCACACCACATTTCTTTATCCATAGTAGAAAATGGTGGCTTAATTTCTACACTTTTCCCCATTTCACTATTAATTTGGCTGTGTAAATCCAAAATTGATTTCATAAGGGAATAAACTAAGTTTATTGAGTCAATATATGTTTTGGAACCCCCGAATGTTCTCCAAACTGAATTCTTCAGTTTCTAAGTATACAGTGTTGACTAACATTTAGAATTGGGGGCGTCTAAGTGGTTCAGTCTGTTAAGTGCCCAACTTCAGATGGGGTCGTGATCTCATGGGTTCATGGGTTGGAGACCCACCTCAGGCTCTGTGCTGACAGCTCAGAGCCTGAAGCCTGCTTCAGATTCTGTGTCTCCCTCTTTCTCTGCCCCTCAGCTGCTCGCACTGTGTCTGTCTCTAAATAAGTATTTTTAAAAAATCAAATAAATTAAAAAATAAAATTTAGAGCTGGAATATAAGAAGAAAATGACAAAGGTAACTACTAATAACTAACAACATAAAAAGTAAAATAATGTCTGTATAAGGAAAGGTCTACTTTAGTAGTTCTGGGTAATAATTAGATAAATTAAGTCTAATTCTCTCAAAGTGGTAAAGTGTTTTAAGAAATCACATCTTATGGGAGCATTGAGAATAACTTTTAAAATAGGATGGCAGACCTGCTGTGAGTTACTTGACAGTTTCATTCTGTCTTATAATCTCTTTATTAAGCACATAACACATGACCAAAAAACCATGAGAATGATGAGCATAGAGGAGGTGTCTCTTTCTCTCTTTTGTCTCTTCTCCTGCTTCCCCATGTCACCCACCTTCTTCTACCTGTCCTTCAACATTTGGCTTCCAATTTAATAGGCAGCTGTGCGTGCTTGGGTAAAAATTGGGCCCTCTTTCAACTTAAAGCAAAACAATGCTAAAGGCTTTCAAAATTGGCATTTCTCACCCTGATCAAAATGGAACATGCGAACTACTCTGTTATCCCTGCACGTAAACAATAAAACTTACTGTGCACTTGCTTCTAGAGTTACCCTATGACATCACTTTATCACTAATAGCATTGGAATTTAATGTATACAGTTTTTGAAATAGCACCTAGTAGTTACTGTTTCCCTTTGTCATGCAAAGAAATCCTGATTTTATTTTAAAGGAACCACCCTCCCCTCTGAGTCCAGTGTCCCTGGCAGAGTTGACATTCTACCCAGCATCAGTGTGTGACTGCCACTAGAACTAAGCCAACCAGCACATCTTCTAGGAGGAGTGTTTCAAAGAAACCTTCTGACCTACTTTGGGCCAGCTTCCCCCAAAGCTCTACTTTTATTGATATTTTTTGTGAAGACAGCATCTCTCTCTTCTGCTGTGTTTATAAATGAGTAAGATAACCCTACAGCTATACAGCAGACATCTTTTCCTATAAGAGGAGAAAGTTTATAATCTCTGATGGGGGTGTGAACGGTATAAAATAGTTCAGTCATAACTGAACTCACAATGAAAAGTAAAATTTTCCATAAGCCACTTTAAGTAGGGCATCTTACTTTATATTTGAAATTTCCACTCTAATAAATGTAACATCACCACAAACTCTTTGCTTTATTTACCCTCATATCTCATTTGTATATTATCTTAATGGGATTAATTGTTTACTCTGTTAAAATTTGTCCATTGTCTCTATGAATTGAGAACACACACATAAAATATTTATATACATAAAACATATTATAAAAAAATAATTGTGGATTTCTCAGACAACTCATTTAGTTGTGAACACAGCCAAAAGAAATCTAGTAGTTTACTTTTAGTCATTGTTAGAAACATGGTTTCTTAGAGGATTTTAGTTGTACGTCATCAAATTCAAAATTTTAATATTCAGTTCCAAGGAGTTTTCTGTATGCAATTATTTTTGAATATTTTCTACTCTAAATGAAGTACTTTTTAAAAAGTGAGTACAAAATAAATGGTAAAGATGTAATATGCACATAGAAGTCTCATGAAGAGAAGTGAATTTGGTCTTTTTTCCTGTCTTGAAAAATTATTTTTAATTATAATAAATGTAGTTTATGTGAAGTTAGAGCTAATTATTACAAAAATTTTTTAATGTTTGTTTATTTTGAGAGAGAGAGAAAGAAGGCACAAATGAGGGAGTGGCAGAGAGACGGGGGGAGAGAATCCCAAGCAGACTTCGGGCTATCAGCTCAGAATCTGACATGGGGCTCAATCCCAGAAACCCTGAGATTATCACCTGAGCTGAAATCAAGAGTCAGATGCTCAGTTGACTGAGGCACCCAGGTACTCCATGTTACAGCTAATTATAGCAAAACCTCTAGCTATGTAGAACCTTTGTTTATAACTGACCTTGAAATAGTTTTCCTGGGTTTTGCCAAGAGAAGAGCTATCCATACTTAAAATACTGTAGCTTTCTCAACCTTGAAGAAAATACATCCTCTGAAATGTCCATTATGGTATTTTCCTTGGGATGGAGCAATATTTTCTGACAGAATAATTGAAGTTGTAGCTATATGATGATACTGAATAGCCTGAGGCTTAAAAGTCAGTGCTAGACAAATTCTTCTTATTTGCACCCACCAAAAATAGGTATGACAGAGAAAAATTAATCATATGCCTCATTTCAGGAAGATGAAGGAAGCAAAACTGAGGAAGTGAAGCTCCTCATTTCAGATTTTTGAACAAAAGTTAAAGCCTTTCCATCATGTCAATAAGCTTGACATTACAAAAGTAGGAAAATAATGCACGGAGAAAAAGTATATGTCTCTAAAATATAAGACTGGCTAATAATCATATGAGTATATAATACCATGATACTTTTCTTCATTTAGACAAGCATTTCTCAGTGTGTTTCTCACACTGGTTACACCAGAATCACCTGAGGTGCTTGTTAAAAATACTGTTTCTTGAGCTATTTTCAAGCTGTTGATTCAGATTATCTTGGTTGGCCCTGAGGGGTCTGAATTTTTAATAGGAACTTCCAGGGGATTCAATAAATGTTGAAGTTTGAAAACTGCTGACTGAGAGCTTGGGAATGACTGGGCCACAGTTACCTTTTTAGCGTGATGGGAGGTACATTCCCCCACTTAAGTTGGAATTTTATACAGTTTAGAGTTGCATACACTGATTCTACAAAACTTCCCTTGTACACCAGACTAGGACTTCTGTATGTCAGTTGATGAAATAGATTAAAAGCAATTGTATGATAGAATTGTCTTCCAGCTGAGGCTCCTGGGTGCCTCAGTCGGTTGCTTAAGTGTCTGACTCTTGATTTCAGTTTAGGTCATGATCTCAGGATTCATGAGATTGAGCCCCACATCAGGCTCTGTGCTGACAGCATGGAACCAGCTTGTGATTCTCTCTCTCCCTCTTTCTCTGCTCCCCTCTCTCTCTATCTCTCTCAAAAATAAATAAATAAACTTAAAAAAAAAAAGAATTGCCTTCTAGCCAACAGTTCTGCTTCACCAGAGTCACTGTATTTGTCTTCACAGCATTGCTGCCATGCTTATGGCAATGCTACTGCCTTTATCCCATATGTAGTAAAAAGAATGTAAAACAAAGTGATTAGAAGTGATGATTCTCAGAGGATTAATGCATGTGAGAAAGAAGAGATTACTACAACTACTTTAAATAATGACTTTTAATATTATCCTGACATAAATGTTATTAAATTTGCAGGACAAAATAAAATAAATAAAATGAAGTATGTATATGACATGTTAGAAACACATTT